GAGCCTCTAATTATATCCAATATTCAACCTTATTCGATAATGACTGATTTACAAAGTAAGAAAGCCGATATCACTTATGCTCAACTTTTCCAAGCGGCTCCTAATATTAGAAAGGAGATGACCAAGATAACTAGGGCGGGACGAATAGCCACGACTAAGATGGCAGAATTCTGTCTTAAGCGGGATAAAAACCTAAAGACTACTTTAATATATCGTGAAGCCCGAGTTAAGGATCACCCAATCCTTCTAATTCTCGACAGCGGATCTTCTGGTTGTATTGTATCGGCGAGTTTTTTAAAGGAAGTCAATATTTCAATTGATCACCCCTCAACATCTGTGATGATTGGAGTATATGGAGAACAAAAATGACCTTTAGGCGAAATAGATAATTTTCTAATTACGGTTGGAGGTAAGACAATCACTTCCCGTGTAGTAGTAACGGATGCCGGGAATTATGCTATAATCGTCGGTAACGATTGGCTAAAGAAGGCCCGAGCAAGATTGGATTGGGAAGAGTGTGAATTAATGATCTGAGACGGGGATAAGAAATTAAAAATACCTACCGAATATTGCAAGCCTGCCAATATTAACGATCGAATTAAAAAAAGAAAGGAGGTAACGGAAGATAGTGGGACAATTGAGGAGGAGGACTATTCGACTGAAGAGGAGACAGAATCAGAAAGCGATGAGGAAGAGGGATACGAACGAGAAGTCTTGATTAATGAAACTTACCTTTACTGGGAATTTCTAGAAGTCAACGAAGAACTCGAGACTTGCATGGTATGCTTGAGGATGGAACATCAAGGTGAAGAGTGCATATTCAGGAAAGACTCTGAAGTTCAAACTACTTATATAATAGAAGAAAAGGAAGAGGAATTTAATATAGGATGATTAACAGAGAAACAGGAAAGACAAATAAATACATTACTGATTAAGTACAAGGATACATTCGCTGATAAGACAGGATGATTGGGAGGAATATCCATAATTCAACACGAAATTTTTACAGAAGAAGGCCCTCCTATTAAACAAAAGTTTTATCCAACCTCTAGACCCGAACATGATTTCATTAAAACCGAAATCCAACGAATGGAAGAGGCCGGTATCATACGAACCTCCAGTAGCTCATGGGCATTACCTATTGTTCTAGTCAAGAAGAAGAACGGAATATTGAGGTTCTGTGTAGATTATAGGAAGTTAAATAAAGTAACCAAACGGGATAGTTACCCTCTGCCTAGGATTAATATTTATTATAATTAATTTTATCGTAAACCTGATCTTCACAAAACTTTTTTTCGGATAAAAACCTTTGATCTC